CTTACTGTCAGGTGACTAACAGAGAACACACACACACACACACACACACACACACACACACACACACACACACACACACACACACACACACACACACACACACACACACACACACACACACACACACACACACACACACACACACACACACACACACACACACACAAAAGCTAACATCTATCATGATCTGTTTCCATAGTGATCAGAGTAGCAGGTCCTTTGCTGCTCAGCAGGGACGTCAATAAATACTGCAAATTCCTCTGGAGGAATTCAAGTACTGCCAACTACAACAGGTGGCTATACAGTAAAGGACTGTGGATCTGCCTTATATTTAAGATTATCTTTGTTCAAACGTTTCATGACAATATATATTCTTTCTGAAATGTTTTTCTTTTACAAATTGCTGCATCAAATACGTTTCTCAAATTACGGAAAAAGATGTATGCTGCAACTGGAAAATCCTCAGAATCAAAGGAAACAATGTCAAATATCAGCACCAAATTATTTCTAAAAATAAATGTATGATGCATATTATGTTTGTGTTTGATCACCCATCTTTCCTCTTTCACCAGGTGCTCATAAATGAAGGGGAGATGTTATGAAAGTTTTAAAAGTTAGTTTTCTTCCTTCAGGTGTGGTCGAGCCAACAAAAGCTACAGATCTGAGACCTGTCTGGATGTGACTGTAAGTGTCAGATGTAGTTAGTGTATTCCTGTGGTAAATGTATGCAATATGTACCTGTTCACATAAACAAAATAAAGGTTGCCATGCTTGATATCACCAGATCCCAGATGATCACCTGGCTGGATGTGATATTTCCCCAGAGGCTGAGTCACCTCTCAGGACTGAGCTCCGTCCTGAAGGAGCTGGACTCCCCGACACCGACTTCCTGCTGTACCTCCTCCTACAGGCCACGGACAGGTGTAGAGCAGAGGTAGAGCTTTGACTTTAAAACATAATTATAAAAGATAATGTTTAAAGTGTACACTTGGGACATTTTAAAGTAAGTAAAATATAGTGAAACAAACATAAAAAGATACCAGCTGACTGGTTCCACTATTACCACAAGTATTCCCCTTATTTGTTCACATGTTATGTAAAGATGTCTTGCATAGTGACCCCATCTCATAAAAATAGCACAGTTGTATTGCTGCCATTTCAAGTGATAACCTTTGTTTTACGTCCTTTAACCCCCTCCCAGCCTAGTGTGCTGGCTTACGCTGTCCACTGTCAGACGGACGCTGATGGACGTCCTGTGGCCGGGGTGGTGGTCCTCTGCAGGGACCGGCTGACCGGAGCCACATACAGCCACCAGGCTACGGTACAGGTACCACTAAACAAATATGTAACTAATACCGTATCTATATTGCACGGTGATGTGTTGAATTGTGCGTGTTTGTCTGTTTTCCAGACTGTGATCCACGAGCTGCTCCATGCACTTGGTTTTTCTAAAGATCTCTTCCACACCTGGACCGACTGTTCCTCCAAATCTCAAGGTTTATAAAGATATTCAGATCGTTTTATATCACTGTATTCCATTTGTATTCATTTTGTGATGGTAAATGATGATCTACTATTGTTTTATTGCCTTCTTTGTTGTGTTATTTCACATGTTGTGCAAGTTAACAACATTTAAAAAAGGTGTGGATTTATTCTGGTAGAGCTGAATTGAATATTTGTGGTAAAAAAACAAAACAATAATCTCTTCCTTTTTTTTAAACGTAACTTTACTTTTAATATAATAATACTTTGATATGAATAAAGTAAAGTACAGGCTAGAAAACAATCTTTTATTTTTATTTAAGCTACATAAAAAGAACAATAAAGTAAAAAGCGCTTGAATAATAATAATAATGATAAACTATTTGAAAAGTCACTTTACTTGGTGAAATAATGAATTTTCAGCACAACAATCAAATAAAATCAGGTTAATTGAAGTACAAAAACACAAATACAGGACAATAAAATAGAACACATTTTTTTAAAAACACATAATGCACATGAGCCAACATTTTAAAATATTGGCAAAATAGGCAAGTCTAGTTCACATTAAACATCACATGCATTTGATAAAAAATGGTTCTTCCAATGTGTGTTTTTTCTTCTTCCGTGCTGCAGGGAGTGCTGTCTGCTCTCCTCGAGGCAGAGTGACTCACTCTGATGGTTCGGGTCAGATGAGGATCTACACCCCCTCCGTCATCTCCGCCCTGCAGAGGCTCCTGGGGTCCGCTGACCCTGAGCTGGGGGGGCCGCTCGAGAACCTGGTACCGCACCGCTCTTAATCTACCTTTTTTTTCCTTCAGATTTATTTTATGCTTTCCTCATTTTTTTATTTTCACCTTCTTCCTTCAGGATGTTCCTCTGGGGAAGGCGTCCTCTCACTGGGAGGCCCGGGTCCTGCAGGGCTCCATCATGGCAGCGGTGCTGGAGGACCCCCCCGCGGTCCGGATCGACCCGGTCACCCTGGCTGCTCTTCAGGATACAGGCTGGTACACCGTGGATATGAGCCGGGCACAGAGTCTGGTGTGGGGAGAGGGTGAGGAAGATAACCCGTGATAAAATGCACAATAATGATCATAATTGCTAGAAAATGACAGGAAAGTAAACCCAGAACAGCTACAGTTGCAAGTTGATTAACACATCAAAATAAAATGACATGAATGTGTTTCTTAAAGGCGAAGGATCCATGTTTGGTTCCCTGTCAACTTGTCAGAACAAGTCCTCATCCTTTTTCTGCACTGGCAGGTACATTTTTAATAATATATATATATATATATTTTTTTTTCTACACAACAACTTCCTTTTAATCCTACATTTGCAGCACTAATGTTTGCATTGTTTCCTCTTTGTCAGTGGATCTGGGTGTCATTATCTTCACCTCCACAAGGGGGAGTGTCAGACTGATCGATACCTGGAGGGCTGTCGAGTGTACAAACCCCTCAAGAATGGAGTAGGTTGCATCTTTTATTGGAGGAAATTCTAGAGAATCATATTCTTTAACAATCCACTTCCACAGATTATATAGTAAAATACACAATTGATTTATTCATTTTGCATTGTATGAAGTCTTCTACTTGATCAAAATGTCCAAAATGAAGCATTTTCTTCACATACTTTCACCTTTTTGTCGTTCTGTAAAGCAGACATATTGGGGTCCTTTCTATGTTTGAGCCTAAATACAATCTGTGGCATTTTATCATGTTGCAGCAACACACTCTCACCCTCTGTCATCATTTTTGCTTCCAGAGTGAATGTTGGAAAGAGGAAAATGGCGGAGAAGAGGACTGGAGCGGGGAGATGTTTGGTTTTCACAGCCGCTGCTTCTTCTCAAACCTGACCAGACAGGTGTGTGTGTGTGTGTGTGTGTGTGTGTGTGTGTGTGTGTGTGGTGTGTGTGTGTGTGTGTGTGTGTGTGGTGTGTGTGTGTGTGTGTGTGTGTGTGTGTGTGTGTGTGTGTGTGTGTGTGTGTGTGTGTGTGTGTGTGTGTGTGTGTGTGTGTGTGTGTGTGTGTGTGTGTGTGTGTGTGTGTGTGTGTGTGTGTGTGTGTGTGTGTGTGTGTGTGTGTGTGTGGTGTGTGTGTGTGTGTGTGTGTGGTGTGTGTGTGTGGTGTGTGTGTGTGTGTGTGTGTAGTGTGTGTGTGTGTGTGTGTGTGTGTGTGTGTGTGTGTGTGTGTGTGGTGTGTGTGTGTGTGTGTGTGTGTGTGTGTGTGTGTGTGTGTAGCATGCCTGTCACCCAATTGAACATTAACCAACCATTTTCTATTTCAGAACCAGAGTGAGGTTCCTTCGTCCGGCAGCTCTGAGGAGGGTCGGTGTTACAGACACAGGTGTAGAGGACCAAACAGATACCAAGTCCAGGTGTCTGGCTCTGAATGGGTGGACTGTCCAGCAGGGGACACCGTTAAGGTAACAGGACATGACCTTAGTTACAGTTCAAACTACAACAGAGTCTTTCAATGGTATGTATCATAGGTATTGGAAATTAAACATCCATATTTGCTGTTATTACCTTTCCTATGTATATTGAGGAACAACTGCATTGTTGTCTTAAGGTAATATATGAGAAATGTACATGGCAGATGGATAGATAGAAATAATTGTTTATATTTCATTTTCTTTTGTCTTTTTTTGGCAAACGTTTTGGGGCATGAAGAAAAAAGTGATAACCGGAAATGAAATGAAATGTTTTAAGAAGGCTCAGCATTACTTACACAATGTTATCATATCCAATAATCACTTTTTAAATGTCACGGTTATCATCTATATCAATATATTGCCACACTCTACGAAAATCATGTGTGTGCTGACATTACACATTTTTCACTGTTAATATGACAATGGTATTCTGACGGCCTTGCAGGTGCCCAGTTCCCAGAAGAGCTCTAATCACAGAATCCATTGTGTCTTTGCTGTTTTTAACGTTCAGATAAAAGGATATCTGGGTTCAGTCCACTGTCCTGACGGGAGGTTATGTCGGTACGATGGCATCACTCCTCCCTCTAATGATGTCACTACATTTCCTGCTTCTGCCACAAGGCAAGTGCGATTTTACAAGAGACCCCTTTCAAATGTAACCTGTAACTCAAACTCAGTTACGTCCCACCTCTGCTCAAACTCACCTCACTTTACTGCTCTTTGCTCAGTGACCCGTATGAGGCTGTCCCGTCAGCGCAGGACTGGAGCTGGCCCCCCCTCAGACCCCCCGCTGAGCTGACTGCAGCCTCAGCGCTCTGCCTCACGGTGGCTGTGTGTGTCCTCTCTGCAGCCGTGGTGTGTTACAGGAAGTGTTGCTCCTGCAGGGTCCGGATCCACGCTGCCTCGGAGCATCACGCTGATCTGTAGCTAACACCGACTCCAAAAACTATGAAAAATCAGTGTTTGATTGGCTTGTTTTTCCTCAGGATAAATCCTTTATTTTTACGAGAAAGAGAAATAATTGATTCCAACAAAAAGTACATTTTTTATTATTTGTTTATGTATAGAATACAGCAAAGTCATGAGAAGGTCAATGTTTGCCAGCTGGTTTCCTATCTCATAAATAATGCTAAAATAATAGCATAATAAAAATGATATGACCAAACAAACTAAAAAAATCACTTGTCACCTTCTTCATTCCTGATGAGTTTGCATCCCTTCCAAATACTAAGTCAAAAACAAGTCTCAGATACATGAAGCACTTTACAAATAAAGCTTTTAATCCTGATACTTTCATTTGGGCGTACACAAGAAATCCAAACACAACTTTACTTTAGTTTCTGAAACCACAATGTTAAATCAACAGTCACTTTATTTCCTCTGCCACATGGGTATGGTGGTCTGTCTGGGGGCAACACCACTCGCACAACAAAAATAGAAAGACAATCTGTCCTCGTCCAGGCACTCTTCATAACACTTCAGACAAACAAAACAGAACTTCACCTTACACCGCAGACAGACAATGTATTTACATCTGCTTTTGTTGTGCTCCACCAGCAAACCACAGGTGGGACAGGCCCGGACGGAGGGGCAGCCAGAGACCCCCTTCACGTCCTTAAAGGTGATATCATGGCAGGTGTTCAGTATTTCCTGTGTCTTACTGATGCAGCCTTCATTTGCACACCGGTATGGATAGGGAGATGGACCTTTCCATTCCTCCAGACACTGCCAGCAGAATGAAAAGGCCACGTTTGTTTTAGCCGTGCATATCACGCAGCAGACCCTCAGGTTGTTTACGTCGCTCCGCATGGCAGAGCACTTGCAGCCGGGACACTGTGAAGGGAAGTTGGATGAAACATATTAAGGAGCAAATTCGTTTTCCAAGAACATTTGAGTATCATTAGTTTAGATCAGGGATGTCCACACTTTTTTCACAGAGGGCCACAAACAGAAAAATATACGAAGGGCTGGGCTCACTAGAGGTATATCGCCTCATAAATTCAGTTAGAAGTTAGCACAATCAATCCAATGTAGGTACATTATTCTTGATACTTGAAAATGCTGTAAGAAAAAAACAGCTCACAGCTCTCCAGAGGGTTTATTTTATTGTGTTGGCAGCTCATTCCTTAAAACAGAAGCTTCAGATTGATTATAATAAGGGGAAATAGGAAGGGTAGATTTCAAGGTTCTTATGTGAATTTGTTATTGGGCTTTTTTCTTATCAACCTATAATGTTAGAACATATTTTCAACTTTAATTGACTGAATTTATTTGAACATGTGGCTTATTAACACATGAATACTGTGTAATATATTTTAACATATATATTTAAGAAGGTCAATATAAGACAAGCAGAAGTTTATTAAGTCATTATACTTTTAGAATTTGCTGAGGGCTGCATTTGGCCCCCGGGCCGTAGTTTGGACACCCCTGCTTTAGATACTTACTGATTTGACGTCCAAGTATTCTTTAGCAGCTCTACTGAACATTTTCCTTTCAAAGTTTTCCATTTCTTCGGGGGTCAGAAGAGCCATTTTCCACACCTCGTCATACGGCCACTCAACATCACAGCCGGGTTGGCCACACACAAATCTGATTTCACCCTTCGGGTTTGAAAAAAGACAAATTTAAGAGATTGTTTTTTGACACATTTTATTATCAATGTCAATATAAAAGATTAACTAACACATTACCTGACCCAACTGCTGTTTACACCAGTTGGTTAGAGACATGGGGGTGACGGTATGACCGCAGGACATCTTCGCTCTGCGAGACTTGAAGTCATTGCACTCAACTACGAGAAACACAAAAAACAAATGTTACTGAGAAGCAGTGGCGGTTCTAGACCAATTTGACTGGGGGGGCCAGTTATTTTCTGAGGGGGGCACAATAAATGCAGGACGAAAAAGAGAACTAGACAGTATTAAGTAATTGCGCATAAGAAAACAATGCAATACAGTTATTGGTATTTGTTTCAGTACACTTACTTATTTCAGATAGATCTTATAGTTATTACTGTTAGCTTCAGCTTAAGTTATAGTGCAATGTTTGCACTCACACCATATTTATATAAAAATAAAGGCAATGAACAGTTACATCTCTACTTTACATAAGGGTGTCTGCACAATCTCACATTACAGCAACAAAATCCTGCGGTTTTTGGCAAACCGAGTACCAGAAAATATACATTTAAAAAAAAAAAAAAAATACTTTTCATTGTTAGGGGGGCACTTTCCCCCCTGGCCCCACCTAGAACCGTCCCTGCTGAGAAGTTAGATATATTAGAAAGTAAATGTCAGGTTCTTTGGCTACTTACAATCGTGGTCGTCTTCTCCATCGGCGAAAATAAATGTGGTGTCCTTTGGGTCATAACACTTCTCCTGCTCAGCTGTTGAATTGTTGCTCTGTTGTCCAGAATCACTCCTTTGCTCAGTTGCTAAATTGCTTGGTTGTTCAGAATCAATCGCCTTCTGTCCAGTTGCCAAGTTGTTCGTTTGCCCAAACTGTAAAACAAATGTTGAAATGACGTTAGAAAATGTCAAGGTTTACAGCGTATCTGTTGTTTTTAAAATAGTTTACCATGCACAGGTTTGTAGGCCTACTATAGTGGAGTAAATTACCGTAAACAGCTTTAGGTAAAGGGACATTCAAGAATTGGAGGACATTTTCTGTCCCACCACAAGCACTACTTGCACTTAGGCAAAATGTAAATAAAGTTGTGGAAAAAGTGTTTTTAAAATATCAATCTCTAGCACCCTCTAAACCCTTTATTTTTTACGACCTTCTTGGTGATTAACTTGCATGTCAAATATTACATTTAAAATAGGCTTTTTATTTACCTTTTGTGCTACTTTTATGTTGATACGTCTTTTGTATTGGTCAAAACCCTGCTACCAAAACCTATTAAAGGTGGGGTAGGTAATTCACTTCAGAAACACTTTTTGTGGAATGGAATGCTCTTAACATCCCGATAGCAATGAATATATTAAATGCTTTGACAATAAATACATACAAAAATGTCATCTGTGGAAGCCGTTGCGCTGTAAAAAGCACGACAATCATTTTAGCCGGCTCGGCTAAAATAACTGGATGGCCTACCTGCCTGTCAGCCTTCCATCTGTGCACAAACTTATCTCGTGCCCTCATTGGTCATGTGCGCGTTCGTGTGTGTTGGAGGAGGGGCTCTGTAATGAAGTCTGAAGGAAGGGGCAGATTTCTTCTGGTTGTGTACTTTCAAATTCTAGCGCACTCGAGCTGGTTTCTCCATTCTTACCTGATTCTTACCTATGATTCTTACCCTACCTTTAAGCACGAGGAGAGGAAGTGAAAAAACTGTAGGTCACATGACACAGAAGAAATGACATCATCAAGCCATGTGCTACTGCCATAGGTAGACAAAGGTAAGTCATTTATTTTACTTAACATATTTTCCTTATCTTTTCTCTCTTGAACGAACGTGGCCCTCTAACCAACGCAACCTTGTTACTCATATCATCAGAATAAATCATTCTTTAGTTAAAATCACAAGTTTGTCCTTGCCTTGAAGTAGCTTTACATTCTCCACTCCAGCTAGCATTAATTCCTGAGGTTCAAGCTAACATTAGCATTGATTTTCAACCCTGCTTCCCTCAATTCCACAGCATATTTTTTTACAATTCAGAATGACTTACATTTCTATCGTGCTCAGTCGTCACATCAGTGCTTTGAAAATGACTTCTCCAAGCCACATCAGTCGGACTCCTTCTTAGTTTTCGATTCCCAAACGTTTTCCTCTGTGTACCGGTCAGACTCTTGTGTTGTGCAAACGACTCCCTGTTCTTTTGCTCAGTTGCCAACCCGTTCCCCATCCCGACTCGACTCTACTCGTCCTCTTACAAAACAACAATGGCTACACAGATGATCATTGTTACCTAATGAGTCATGATATTCAGTCGCACCGTGAACACGCCCTTAAAAAAAAAATCATAAACACCTCTCACCTCAATCTTTTGAGTTCCATTTGCGTTTGCATCACCGAACCAAAACAACCACGCATACTCCTCACTGGCACATCAGGTACATTTGCGAAAATGAAAATTCAACTCCGAGTAAGTGGACCCAGAGGAGAGGAAAAGGTCATCGATGTGTGCGAAAATGAAGAGGATTTAAAGAAGATCACTGTAAAGCAGCTGAGGGAGAAGATTACTCGAGAACTAGAGATAAGTAAGTTTCTCCTTTTTATTATATGAAGATGTTTGTATTAATGCATATATAGGCTCATAGAATTGCAGATGTGTGCGTTTGGTTTAAGAACTGTTGTAAGCAAGCCCTGTTTTTTAAATTGTAATTCCTGTTCAGGTGCAGACCTCCGGATGGTGTACAGAACCAAGCAGCTGGAGGAGTCTGACCTGCTGTTATCCTATGGGATCCGACACATGTCCACCATCCATACGCTGCTTATGCTGCCCGGAGGCATAATAGGATGAAGACGCAGGGGAGAAAAAAAGACTCTTAACAACAATGACCATCATTTAAAACCAAAAACTATGAAGATTGTAATGTAAAAAACTAAGCTTTTGTGCTTGCATATGTCCTCTATCCTTTGTTTTAGGCTTAAATAAATGTCCTTAATATGCTAATGCAGTTTGGAGCATTTTATTTCTGGGGTCTAAAGTAATCTGCAATTACTAACAAACTACCAAGCTCATGACTACTACAAAAAATGCTGTATGGCGGGGTTAAATAACACAGGTTTTTTTGTTTGGGTGAAACCTGTATTCTTGGCTGACAGGCAGCTAGTCTCTGCCAGCAGTTAAACGGGTGCTTACCACACTTCTGAATAGTTTAAATACCAGCTTTTGATGCCTTGTCTTTATTCAAACGTGACCTTGTACGAAATGCTAAGTGACTCGGGTAACAAACCTGATAGAAATGCATGCAGAACAGTATATGCAAACAGTAAGCCAAACCAGTATGTCAGTAGGTGAGTTTGTTTAGCTTTATTTGGTATTTTACATGTCACAAAAGAATAAACCCCAAAACACAATAGGTAGAAATAGTTAAAGACACTGGATTTAAATCATTGTCTTCCATTCTAGGTTTGTGAAGGAGTTACGATGTAATATGATATACTAGATTGGATGCTGTAGAAAAAAATGTTGTTGGCAATAACTGGGCTGAGCCACACATTGTACATAACAAACACGTATCATATATTTGGACTCTAAATAAAAATAGCTAAAAACAAAAAATGTGTGCAACAGATACACTTTTGACTTTTATACGTGAGAAATAAGTCTGTAAGAAGATTAAAGCGGTAAGATAGAATAATCCTATTGCACCTTATCAAAGTAAACGGAAAATAAATGGTCTAAGAACAGACCCCTGTGGTACACCACGCATTTGGCAATTTTCCAACTTCCATCCATTTATACTTAAAAAATAATTGCAGACAATTCCAAAATCCATGCTGATGTATAATATTTAGATAGTACATGAATCTATACTACATATACATAAAGCAAAGTCATGCAAAATATTTGTTGTGGGCCTGATTCATTCATAGTTTATCAGCTGGTTTCTTAAAATATCTGACACCAAAATAGCATACTGAGAAAATAGGGCATAACAAACAGTAAATACAACGTTATGATATATTGTTTCACATTTAGAGATACCTAATCGTGTTCCTTAACCATCAATTTACCAACTAGTGTTTTGAAAGTTAAATCATCGCCTCTTCATCAGCACCTTGATAGCTTGAGGGGGAGCTGGTTGACATTTCAAAGCTGACATCCCTACTAGTTTTTTAGAGTTGTTGCAAGTACGACAGAAATCACAATCACAATGGATGCAATAGCGCCGAGAGCAATATAAATATGATTCCTCTTGATGCCAAAGAAGCGATTGCTGGGCGGCTGACGATCCTTATCTGGTGGGAAGATAAAATAGATATGAATTTGCTACAACAAACTCTTCAACCTGCTTAAAAAGCTGAGGGTTAGGCTAGGTTTCTTTTACAGAAATAAGTCCTGTTTCTCGCTTGAGGCCAGGAAAAGGCTAGTCACTGTGACCTTTTTACCTGTGCTGGACTATGGTGATTTGTTATATATGAATGCACCTGCCAATTACCTGAGCAAGTTAGATGCTGCGTATCACAGTCCACTGAGATTTTTGACAAATTGTAAAGCACTTACGCATCACTGTACCCTGTATACCAAGGCGGTTATGCCATCACTTACTGTACGGAGGCTCAGTCACTGGTACTTTTTCATTTACAAAGCCATGTTGGATAAACTACCATCTTATATCTGCTCCCTGATCTCTCTGCGAATTGAAAGTACTTATTGCCTGAGATCGCATGCTGTGGTTTTATTAAATGTGCCAAGTGCTAGGACTGTCTTAGGGAAGAAAGCTTTTAGATGTGCAGCTCCACTAACATGGAACAGTCTGCAAAAAGAATGGAAAATTACCAAGCTAGTACCACTACATGTTTTTAAAGCTTTAAAGGTTGGATGCTACAAAATCAGATGCTGTTGGTACCTGTACATGTGGTTAAATATGTAAATTGTAATCCCTGTACATTTTGCTGTATGATGTCCTTTTGTTGTTCTGTTGTTTATGTCTTCTTGTGGAACCTACTGCTGCAGGTCTCCCTTGAAAAAGAGATCATTGATCTCAATGGGATTTTACCTGGATAAATAAAGGTTTTGAATTGAATTGAATTGAATTCAAAAAATGCAATTCAAAAGAAGGATCAGAAATGTTAATATACCCTTTGTCGTTTCACCTTCCTCTACTTCCATTTTGCTTGTTTTTGGATTGGGGAGATCATCTTCCATGACGATTTCCACATTGTTTGCGTCTGTTTTTTGTTTGGGGAGAACGTCTTCGTTGTTGAAAGTTGAAACCTTTTCATATCTTGTCTGATCCTTCGGTTTCTTCGTATCTTTGCTGATTTGTATTTGTCTGTCTTGATCTTGGCTCTCATGCCTGTTTTCTTTGTCATCATGGGTCCTTCCTCTTTGGTCTTTCCCCTCGTCTTTGAGACTTTCTGAGGGTGTAAAGTGGAGGGAAATATCAACGTTAATAAAATAATCTGTTAATATCCCACGCTTTAATGCTTTCTTGATGTACTATTCTGATCTTACCTCTGTACACGAGCAGATATGCACTGCTGGAACTGTTGAACAACCATTTTGAAGTGATAGAACAACAAAGAGTTGAGAACATACAGTTAACATGACTGGATGTATTATGGAATATATCATAAAACCTTCTAAGAAAATGTAGTCCTTAATATGCTCCAAAAAAGTATAATTAATGGATCATACCTATAAGTCCCAGTTTTTGCAAATGATTGCTCTTCAACCTGCAACATTTAACAAATAGCCATTGGAGGATTTTGAATATGTGCCATGCTAATGGATGCGTTAAATGAATCCTCACCTTGTTGACGGCCTCGTCGTTGAACTCATACCAGGTTTTGTCCTCATTGGACAGGAGGGTGGCGGTGTAATGTCCACCTCTCAGACTGCCATAGTGATTCACCATTCCATACAGCGAGTACTTCTTGTCCTATAATGAAGAGCAGAGACGGGGGCATAAGAACATTTAAAAGTGTATTAATGAACATCTTTTAAAGTTTCTCCCCCTTGCCTTTTTCTGTAATGTGTATGGCACGTCCACACTGCAGTCTGATTTGAAATAGGACATGATGTTGAAGTCAAGTTCAAATCTCTTCAGGAGTAGGACCAAAATCTGGGGAAATGTATCCATGTCACATCCCTGAACAACACAAGGAAGATATTAAACACTGCAGCTTTTGTAAAACAGACAAAACAAATAGGCAAATGTTCATTTGTGTCTGAATGTGTTCAGGCCCCATTCGGCTTTGGACTCAACTCACACTTGTCGCCTCTGTTTTCTTTTCACACTCGTTGCAGTACACCATGTTGTCTCCGCTGTATGATTTTGTCTCAAAAGTCCTTTCAAAGCCTCTTTCCTGTAAAAACAAAAACGTTGTTTTCAACTCCAAATTGGATTACCAATTCTACATCTTCATAAAAACTGCTCTTTTTTATTTATTCTTTCACAGGCAGTGGTTTTATTGGTTGTAATGTATTGCTTTATTATTGGTTAAAAATGTGTACTTTTGCTTTACAGAACAGTTATAAGCTGTTGGCACACTTATTAGATTCTGACAAAAACATGTGTCCTAATTAACTTAAAGCACTTAACTCCATATGAATGATCACTTATTTTTAATGGCTATTTACTGTAAAAAACTAAGAAATGCTGCCTACCACGTTGTAGGTTGCATCATGGGTATTTCTTAGCGACAGTGGAAGAGTCCAGAATGGATTTGTCTCTTCGTTGATGATGTGGCCTTTGGAGCATTTTGTCATGTATATCAGCTGTCCTTGGAAAACCTTGAGATACAAATATCCCTATTTTTATTATTATTATTATTATTATTATTATTATTATTATTATTAATAATATAGTAATGCCTTTTTCCAATTTGTTGACTGACAACTCAATAGATTTGTAAGCGCTCACCTCAGAGGCGTTTGGACTGACTTTATGTAAAATCAACTCCAGGCATTCGGCAGCATCACATTGTTGATGAACTGAAAATCAAATGTACATTAGATAACAGTAAAGCATTTCAGCCATGTCACTTTTGTCCTTGTTTTTATTGGTTGCTGACAGACTTACCATTTGTAATCCCCAAACTCTCTGTGATTTCTTCTGTTCCACAATTTTCTACTTTAATTTTCTTAAACACTTCCCCTAGCTCTTGATCCGTGATCCATGATTTTGGATCCAACCTGTAGAAATTAGGATTTTATGGGTGAAAATGTATCTGTTTTAACTTTACATAATCACTGCTAAAGAGTAAAGAAGTTGATGCAGCTTGAGCCTTTGATGGTAATATTTGGTGTCTGAGGTGAGAGCAGTCCCATAACAATGTTTAAATGTACATTTGCAAGCATGTATATTTGTCCGTTTATCAAATATATGGCAGACTTTAGTTGTGAAGTCTTGCTTGAGTTTTGAAGTACTTTCGATTTCTCTTCTTGCAAGGTTTACAACTCCTCACCAAACACCACTACAGACTCTCAGATGTAACACTTAAAGGTCCCATGACATGGCCATTTCTACTGATCATAATTCCATTGTTAGAATAGATTTGCACTGTTCAATGTTCCAAAATCACATTGGTTTCTCATACAGCATCTTTGTATAGTATGTGTATTCACTCTCTGTCCTAAACGGCTTGTTTGAGCTCCTGCCCCCCCCCCCCCTCCCTCCCTATGAGTCCACTGTGCTCTGATTGGTCAGCTCACCCACTCTGTTCTGATGAGTCCACCACCGTTACAGCGGAACATCAGTGATTATGTGTTACAATGGTGTTTGTTAGCAACCAGGAAAGGACACCAGTAATGACAAACAGATGAGAATGCTGCGTGGGGTCTGGGTGCCGTGTTGGCGGGACGTTGCGCGGCTCGCTGCTCCGCCCTTTGAGGCTCGAGGAGCGGACAGTGTGAGCTGGATTAATGGTGTCGTTTCCTGGTTGCTGCGTGGGGTCTGCGAGACACCGCGGAACTCAGCCTGAACACACACACACACACACACACACACACACACACACACACACACACACACACACACACACACACACACACACACACACACAACACACACACACACACACACACACACACACACACACACACACACACACACACACACACACTCACACTCACAGCCAGGCTACAAGTGTGTGTGTGAGGAGCTGTTACGTACTATACTCAGGAAGAAAAAAATGGAAAAAGAAAAATCTCCAACGAGGCGTTCTGGGGCAGCATGGACTGGTATTTTCTGTGTTAGAGTTTTACTCGCTACAGGGTGTACTTTGAGGGTTTGTGACTCTGCAGACCGTTTACATGCATGAAAACCTACATAACACACAAGGGGACGTGTAATAACCAGAAAAACATGACATGGGACCTTTAACACATTTACTGTAGCTACTTCACACAGTTGTCTTTTCTATATTTTCTCCAGACGAAAGCAGCTGTTTCCAACCTGTCATGGAGTTCTGGTGTCATGAAGAGGACTTGGAGGACACTGTTGAGGTAACACGTGGCTCCCTGATTATACAGACCATAATGTAGCTGAATCACTGGAACAAAAGGAGAACAAATAGGTTAAAGATGTGCAAAACGTATAGACCCATAGGACACTGAACCAAAATCAGTGCTATAGATCAAAACATGTTACAAAAGACTTTATTCAGCTTACACTCTCCAGGAAATAGACTCATAACGTCAATTAAAGGGATTTGCAGTATCATTGGATCATTTGTACTTCACCTGCATCTTCTTTGCCTTTTGGTTTCTTTGCTGGTGCTTTCCCCTCCTCATGGGATCTTTTTCTGGAGATGCTCATCTTTTCACTTCAATCTTTCCTCTGAAAAATAATTGTTATTTGTCGTGCTGCTTGTAAGTTCCCATCATCCAATGCAGTACGATTAGGTGCTTGTTTCCGAGTAGTTTTTCGAAACATGTTCGTGTTCTAAAATGTAGTCTAACTACATTCTGATGCTGCAGTACCGCCCACTGATCCAAACACTTGGATTCAGTTTAGTACAGAAGGAGATACATCTGGTGTTTTGTAGGCGCTAATGGTGCAATATTGAATATGCCAGCTGAAGTCTGTCATATCATTAATAGTACCAGTAATACCTGTGAGAAGTGTTTTGTGGTGTCACTTTGGTGTCGAGAAGAATTCACCTGGCGTTTATTCTTCTCCAGGAAGTTAAAAATAATAAGACCAGTTATGGGAATAATGATGGTTCCGCGTTCAATCCGGTAAAAACTCAACTTCCCTCATTCCAAACTGGTTATCAAAGGTTATACATTGTTATTCTTCTGTGGCTCCAGTTGAAGTGGTTTTATGTTTTTGCTTCTGGTACCTATCAGTACATTGAATTTAAAACCCTATAACCCCATTTCAGTTTCTCATTTATTTATTTTTAACACAGTGTGCCCCCTCTTCTCTGGCTCCATTAACAAATCTTCCATTTTTTGCTTGTAACTTGAACTGCGGGACTGGACGACTCTAAGCATGTTGATACTAACATTATCACTTGTCAATACTGCATTACTCAGCCATAGGGAGTCTTATTATAGAGTGTTGTCCAATAGGTGGCGCTGTCCCTCCATTGAACACTTCCTAAACTACATCTACTCCACAGAATACATGAGGATATTCACTTGAAGCAAACATTGATATTTTCCATTAAGATTCAATGGACTTGCACTTAATTAGATTTACATTTAATTGGAATGTTTTCACTTCATGAATCCATACTTTCCTTGTAATTAACTAGCAAAAACGTAGAAATATCCCGATCCAGCACAGACTCAAATGTATTAAGAAAAGTAGGCTACTCTCAGAAGTCATCGCTACGCTACTGTTAGCCGTTTACAGAAAGTCCCTCTCTTTAATGATTTTTAAAGTGTTTTGTTTTGTCACTAAAAATAACCACAGTTTTCTTTCTTTCTTGTTTCTTTGTTGTGATTTGCTAATACAGTATGTACTACCGTGAGTTCATATTCTGAACAAAGTGCATCTGTTTAATGCCAATAAATACAACGTTTCTGCGACGTCAACAACAAACACACATCGATGATACTGTGATACACTTCAATGACACTTCGTATAATGTTACCATTTGAATCCCTGACTGACCCATGACAGAAAATAAGAAAACACTATACATATCTTTAGTACAGATTCAAATTAAATCGCTGTCGGGATAACTTTACCAAGATAAAAGTATATGCCTTTCAGCTGATAATAAGAACAAGTGTGGTTACTCACTGACAGCTGATCCGCACACAATGACTGAGGAGTGGCATCTTCTGGAAGTCTTAACCAGCAACTTAAGACGCATTATTAGCTTTGCCAACTAACTTATAAGGATTATTAATTACTTAACGTTATTACAGCTTAAGTTTAAATACAATACATTTATAATTAAGTCACAAATTATAGTCCCAGGAAACGTACATTTCTGCGGATCATTAGACTTAAATTAAGGTCAAAATAATACTTCAGATAAGATAAGATTGACTTTATTGATTCCAAATTGGGAAATGCATTCGTCACAGCAGCATTTACAAGGCACTGCACACAAATGTGAAAATGAAATAAAAATATATCAAATAGAAACATCTCAAAATAGAAAATAAAACAGAACAAAAAAGTAAGAAATATACATATTGACAGTGAAAGATAACAATCTGTGGACTAATATGCAATATAATAATAATAGATTTATTTTGTTAGCGCTTTTACAGGTGCTCAAAGACGCTTTACAGAGATAGTGAAAAGAAAAGAACAACAAATACATAGTTAAAGACAAATTAAAAGCAACACAAAAACAATCACACATTAAAAGCCAGATTGAAGAGGTGAGTTTTTGTAAGTTTTTTGAAGGTGGTGAGGTCAGTGCAGTCTCTGATGGGTTGTGGGAGTGAGTTCCAGAGGGAGGTTGCAGCGACGGAGAAGGCTCTGTCCCCCCAGGTCCGGTGATTGATGTGGGTGGGGATGGATAGGAGGTTGGCTTCTGATGAGCGGAGGCAGCGGGAAGGGGTGTGGTGGTGTAGCAGGTCTGTGAGGTAGGGGGAAGGGGTGTGGTGGTGCAGCAGGTCTGTGAGGTAGGGGGAAGGGGTGTGGTGGTGCAGCAGCAGGTCTGTGAGGTAGGGGGAAGGGGTGTGGTGGTGCAGCAGGTCTCTGAGGTAGGGGGGGGGGGGCTGATTGTTGAGGGCTTTGCGCGTTATGAGCAGGACAATATGTTTTTGTTGGCTAGTTATTTTGATTTGAACCAGGCTATTAGTTGGTTTCTGACATTCATGTTCTCCCCCCCATTCCTTCTGAGAAATTAATGATTTCCCAGAAGGACCTTTCTTGCTGCTAATTATAGAATAACTGGGTGTGGCCTTTCCTGGTTTTAATCATCTTTGATTGACACATCATAATGAAAGTATCTCCTTGGCACACTGATGTCTAAAAGACAATGGGGAGTTTTCTCAAGAAAGATTAGAATAAAAATAGCAACAGATTGACAGTAAAAGAGCTCATCGTGCTATTGTCTGGAGTTAACGGGGAAAACCACAGAGTCTTCACTTTGGAGAGACTGGCAGAGAAATATGAAAGAAAGACAAAAAGTGATTACATGAACAGACTTTAAATTGGAGCATGTCTTACATATTGTAATAAACCATTAAGAGGCATGCAGGAGGTTTAAAGACAGATTTTATTTTACAGTTAAATACATTATATTTCTGTGTATTTTTAGATCATAATAGGCAACATTAATGGTCATGTTTTGGCAGTCTCTGTGCGTCTTCATCATATATCCAGTCTATGGTCTTCTTCCCATCATGCCTCCGGGCAGCATCAGCAGGGTGTGGATGGTACTCATGTGTTTGATCCCGTAGAAAAACAGCAGGGAGGATTCCTCAAGAATATCCGTTCTGAACACCATCCGGATATCATCATCTAAAAGAAATAAAGAGACCATTTATTTATTTATTATTTTGACCTTAGATGCAGACCTTTCCACGCCTCTTTTGGGAATCCCCAGAGGGAGATTTCCCATCATCCGTTATGCTCAGAAAGATTTTTAAGGACTTTTTCCTCATAAAGACACTACACAGTATTTTCCAATGTTTTATTTAAATAAACTCAATCATCTGACTAGTTCAAACTGCATTGAAACCTTTTGTTATCATCTTTAGGCCTGGCTTAAACTCTAATTCCACACAAACACATATCATTTTGTATCAGGTTAAAACTGTGTTGAGTTCTCATTCTCATGGTTGTGGAGATAAAATAATAAATTAAATGTAATTAGTTGTCATTTTCTTCTACATGCTTGTTGTATTTTTCTTGTATTGCAACTTCTATTTTCCATTTTGTAAAGATTATCATTTACAAAAACAGGAGGAGCATTCTTGTTTGTTTTTTTGTTTATCTTTTGATGCATATTAGGCTTATAAGTAACACTCTACATTGTAAACAATCAGTGGTGGAAAGTAACTAAGTACATTTACTCTATACTTAGGTACAATATAAGGTACTTGTACATGAGTATTTACATTGTTTGCTATTTTACTTTAATGATGTGAAATATAATCAACACTTAACACTCCATCTGCATAATGACTTCTTTTATTTTTGGTACTTTTAGTATATTTGTTGTACTTTTACTTGAGTAACATTTTGAATGCAGGACTTTTACTTGTAACAGAGTATTCCTACACTCTGGTACTTCTACTTTTACTTAAATACAATATCTGAGTATACTTCTCCCTTCTTCTTTAATGAACAAGAATGCCATCTGCCTCTGGCTCTACATGTAAGCATATTAATATTTGTCGTATTAACTTAAACACCCTATATCCTAAATAAAGAATGACGTCAAACATACCTATCTTCATGTCCCGCACAATTCTCTTCTTCAGCTGTAGCACGGTGAGTCTCTTCAAATCTTCTTCATCCTCGCACAGATCCAGGACCTTCTCGTCTCCTCGGGGGCCATTCACCCTTAGCTGGACTTTCATGTTGTCTCTTGAGTCTTTTCACTGTGAGGAAATTGCATGAAGTGGGTAACAGCAATTGCAAATGATCCTATTATAAGAATAATAAAAAAAACACTCCACCTCTCCTGTAACTCTACGTCACGTGACTTCGTGGAATTTAAAGCAGGTCAGCCAGTCATGATTGTTTGATAAAGCATTCAACATGGGAGGCAAACTCTCAGCTCCACGCAGAGAGAGAATACATGAAAGGCAGTGGACTGATGTCTTTGAGACTCACGAAGAAGATGTCTCAGGATTTAATGAAAGATTCGTAGGCTGTGAAGATGAGTTGAGCTCTGGAGAAATCAGCTGTACCGTAGTAGAAGAGAAATGTTACGACCCTCAAGACGCCACTCTTACATTTGTGGAGGGAGATGATGATTTAGATTGTAAGTATTCTCACATTTACCTGATATTTTTGTTATTTTAAACGCCCCTTAACACTGTTTTTATCTGCTTGCGTTGTCTCACAGTTTTGTGTGAGGACTATAAGTCTCTCAGAGCGAAGATGTCCTGCGGCCATGCTGTTACTCCGATGTCTCTCACCATCTGGTGTCGCCATTTGCTGGACAGTGTAAGCTGTGTACACCCCCATTCATACATGCTTTAGCGACTAGCCTTCACTTTCCCCACAAAATTGCATAGCGGCAGTGCATGTACTAGTAAACAGTAATCTTATTTAAGATATTTAATTGTAATAGTATAGTTTTTAAAAGATTGATTTTGGTTAATATCAGCGATTAATAGGCTAAAAATAACGTTTTATACTTGAATTGTTTATACTTTAAAGGCAACTCAACATGCTTATTGTCAGGTTGTATTTTGGTTTTGTACCAGAACATGTATACATGCTTTAATGTTAAAAAAAACCACGTTGTTTGTTATCAAACTGTCTGAAGACACCTGTATTCCCCGTCTGTGTGAAACGCTCCGTTTTGGGGCCTGTCTCTTTAAGAGCCCAGTCTGCTCTGATCGGCGCCAGAGGAAATTAGGTACTTTTCCTCAGGTCGTGGGTGGAGATACTGAGATGGGGGAGGTGTATACAAACAAGTGCTGAAAAGCGAGTTTTTCATTATATGTTCCCTTTAATTTAATTTAATTTGTGTATATATCTTAGGGCAAGTGCAATTTTGTGTGTGGTCAAACTGACTGCGATGTCGAGTGGCCCTTCGAGGAGGTGTACAAAATGGCTCTCCTGACTGAAGAAGAAGTGGAATACTTTGAGAAGACAGTGTTCAGTAACGCTGGCAAGGATTACCTGGGCGTCAAATCAGTAAGTATAACATTGACGGCATTTACAGACTTGTTCTGAATATTTGTTCACTATCAAAAACATGCCTTTTTCAAGCATAATGTACACTGCCTTAAATTCTTTATTATGTGTATATATTTATATCGTGTATTTAATATTATACTATCGATATATATCCTTCATTATTGATTAATGTGTATATTCACTGTTTTTAGTATTTTGTTAATCATCTACTGCTAATATGTTTATTTTTATTGTTTGTATTTTTTTTTAAATAGGTTTTTATTTTTGTATTTTCTTTTATTTAATAAAGAAAATTCTATTTAATAAATTTTTTCATATATTTTGTTTTTATTATTTTATTTTTTTCATGGGCAATATCTTCTCTATCTGCTGCTGTGATGGAAGATAAAAAAAACCAAATTAGATTAATAAAGTATATATTATCTTATTCAGAATTTTAAAACGACGACATTTGATTTCTTCATTGAACAGTGTCCTGGTTGCAGTTCTCGTGTGGTAAGAAGTGACCTCCATGACCTCTGTGTCCAATGCCCAGTGTGCACAGCCAGGAGAAGGCGGCGTTATAAATTCTGCTGGCAGTGTTTGAAGAAATGGAAAGGTCCGGCTCCCCGTTCAGACCGCTGTGCAAATAGAGACTGCCAGAACCCACTGGACATACTGAGAAACTGCCCAGACATCTCCTTTGAGGACGTGGAGGGGGTCTCCGGCTGCCCCTCCATCCGGGCCTGTCCCACCTGTGGTTTGCTGTTGGAGCACAACAGAACCCAATGTAAAAACGTGTTCTGTGCCCGCTGTAAAGTGGAGTTCTGTTTCGTCTGCCTGAAGCTCACTGAAGAGTGTGTGGATGAGGACGACATATCCTCCTTTTACAGACTTTGTCCCAGTGGTGTAGCACCGAGGCAGACCTCCGTACCCGTGTGGCAGAGGACATGACTCTTATAATAACAACTTTAAAAATATTTAAAATGGTCTTCAGAATCACCATAACTGTTATTACCTAGAAAACCTCTTACCTGCTTTCTTTCTCAAACCCCAAATTATGACTAACATGTTGCCTATTATGATTTTTTTAATATTTAACATTCTTTGTATTCTATACTTTGTTTTCTTTTTAATTTAGTGAGAGACAATTAATAATAATAACAAATAATGATATGTAACATTTGTTGATTTAACAAGGTTGGCAGTGCACAAGGGGGAAGATATGCATACATACATTGAGTATGTACTAACAGCAAAAACATGGATGGGATGAAAGCTAAATAAAAAGGGACGTGTTCAAGGTAGTTTTTAGTGTGGAAATGTTAAATGCTTTATACTTTTGGGCAGTTTGAGTTATATGCATCATGTCTTGGGAGTCGGGAGGAGCTGATAATTTATTCTGGCAAATTACTCAGACCTACTAATTGACCTAACAGAAGTTATTGAGTCGATGTAAGTTTACTGGTTGGCTCAGATCCATTAACGTCAGCAAGATCTCACCTCTATTAACTCCCCGAAGAACTAGGTTCAATTAACTGCTGTTTCAATTCAGTCAACTCTCTTAAATCTGTTTAAGCGATCCGAAGGATTTTGATATCAGTAAATGAGGTGTGGCCCTACCTAAGCGTGAGTGTGGCAGTGTGCAATCTGACCTTTGAAGCAGGAGAGGAGAGCGCAGATGTCTTTTAAGTTGTCCCAATCCAAAAGGTGGGATCAGTTTATTTGAAGAAAAATAGGTCCAAACGTATACAGGGTTTTTACCTTCTCTCGTTACAACATGACAATCTTACAAAACATATCATGCTGTGGTCATGTTCTAATATGAAACCTCAATTCATAGTTTTACATTTATTACACTAAATTGTAACTTCAACTGCCCAATTCAGTTGTGACATTTAATCGTCCGAGAGAATTTAGAGGCATCTCCTCATAAATGACCGGTGATAATAAAAAGCACATTCAAACTTTCATTCAACAAATCAATTCATAAACACATCTAGTCCCGCATGAATTGGGAGGACCTTTCCTCACAGGTGGCAGGGTGCTAAACTTTCAACACACATCAATTCATTCAGCTTTCAACAAATAAATGTACTCTACACTCAAAATCAAATCACAATGTAAAAAGTAACTATAGCCAAATAAATGTACAATATTCCTATTTTAGAAGTATAAAGTAGCAGAACATGGAAATAGCACCTAAAAGTTCCCCTTAACAAAGTACTTGAGAACATAAAACGAGTTGATTAATGGATTATCTGTCGATCAAATTGGCACCACTTACTGGATACACTTAGTTTGTGAAACCTCATCCTGGGGTTGTGTACCATTACCATTTAAACTCACTTTAAACAACACAATGGCGCCACTTTCTGGTCAGTTCTCTTACATGCTAGTCACACAAAATCCATCCTTCTCGTAAAATAGCTTCTAAATACAGACGGCAGAAATAATATAAAAGCCCGAAGTCTATTGGAGTCACAACATGTTTATTTTGTCACATATTTCAATTAATCAAGACAGAGTATACAGAATAATGTCATAATCATGGTTCTTTTAAAATATACTCAATTGCTGACATAATCCATTGGATCACAAACAAGTGGAATCGATTCTGATAGTTTTGGTTTGGTTTGTAAAAAATACACATTCAAAATACTGAACCTATGGACATAAATGGAGGCAGCCACACAAACTTTTCTCAGGAGAATTGTAATGCAATTGTATGTTGTATGCAACATTTGATTTTGCTCAAGTTTAATAACCCTTACAAATCAGTGGTACTGTCACAAACTACAGGCGTACTGTGAATATGAATGTTATAAACATGTTCAAAATGTTCATCTTCCATTTTAAATGTAAATGCAATTGTAACTAGCATTTTGTTCTCATGAAGAAACGTTTCATACATTTAAAAGTCCATACTTTCAAGACAAAGTGCAAACAAGTTAACCTTGACAATGCAATTATTAGCTATTTTCCCTTTTTTTAATGTAATCTGTTCAGATTATAGACATTTATCTGTATAATACGATAACATAATCCTATTTACATGTAACCCTATAATAAAATCCCTCTTTTCATTTCTTCTGCCACACAGGGATAGCAGCCTGTCTCGGAGCCACGCCATTAGGACAGATTTTGTACGGTGAACTGGTTTTACCACATTCACTCTTTAGTTTCAGGCAGACGAAACAGAAAACCACGTGGCAGCGAGGGCAGTCGATATTCTTGCAGTATTGTTGGCTATGTTCCACCTTCATGCCGCATGTGGGGCAGGCTCGGACCGAGGGGCAGTCGGCAACCCCCTCCACCGCGGGCAGGCTGAGGGTCTTGCAGGTCTGCATGAGCTGGAGGTCCCTGTTCATGCAGCCGTCATTGTCGCAGCAGTCAGATCGAGGGCCCGGACCTTTCCATTCCTTCATGCACTGCCAGCAGAACTGGTAGGTCTTCTTCAGATCCGCTGTGCATATGGAGCACCGGACACACAGGTTGGAGAGATCCTTCCTCTCCACACTCGTCCTGCACTGTGGGCACTGAGAAACAGAGCACGAACATGTTGAATATTTAAAGGTTTCCTATCATGCTATTTTTAGGCATATATTATGGGTCTCAGATATATAAAAAACAAGTCTATGATGTGTTTTGCTCAAAATACCTAACAGATCACCCATTCTAGCCTCATATCCCTCTATTTCAGCTCTGCTAGAGAAACGCTGAGTTCGGGTCCTTAGCTTTGAGGGTGGGAGCTCAAATATTTTTTCTCTTGCAGGTTTACCACAAGGTGAGTTCCTTTCTTTATTTCCTGCTTTTTTACACATGCTCTCCAGTACAGGTTAGCTCTGAGTGTCAGCGATACTAATGTAAACAAAGACCATATTACTTCCAAAACGCTGCGCATTGTATCTGATAGCGACGTTTCTGATAGGGGCGTGGTCCACATTTCCGATATTACGACATATCGGACGCAAATCTGGATCAGCTCCGTTGTTCCACCGTTTTTAGAGATTTGGGTACGGAGGAAAAGAGAGAGGGTTTGTTTTCTGACGCTGCGTGAGTTCTCTGACACACCGGGGACACATCTTTATGTATAAAATACATCAAAAAGTGCATTTTGCATGATATGAAAATGCCACATTCAAATAAAGTAAAAAAACACTTACTGTAAGTATCTCACAGTATTCTGCAGCAGCCAGAAGAGACATGGCCTCCTCAAAGTACTGCATTTCCTCCACAGACAGATCTGCCAGTCTGCGCACCTCTTGGTACGACCACAGTTTGTTGCACTGTGTGGTCCCCTCCCCCACCGCAGGGCATCTGAATTTGTAATAACCCTTAAAACAACAAAGACAAGAACATGTTTTTAGTATTACAGACAACTGGTGCACACGACTGGGCCTTCAACACATGGTTTATGTGGGTAGAGAGGGGGAAAGAGATGCTTACTGCTCAAACGATTGCAACTGCTAGCAGACAATAGGCTACTTCCTTTGGCAAACCTAGAGGACCTTTGGTATAACGTCATTCATACTAGTGCAGTAAACCTTACTCTACTGCAACCTTTTTATTCTACTTTCTTATCTATATTATCCTTATTTATGGAATGAAGTTTTGTCGGTTGATGTTTCTTGAAATACTTTAGGAAACATTCAGTGTTGCAGAAAAGTTCTACTTTTGATTATTGGGTTTTACATTTTATTTTACAGCCACTTTTCTCCTTTTAACTTTTGCTCTGTTGCTGATCAGAAGCGTCAGTAAACAGCTGTTTCTTTAAGCATACAACTCCACTGCATTTAGCATCTTATTTAGAGTGATACTAACCTTAAATACTGACTTCTTTATTTACAGAGAACATGTCTTAAACTTGCCAGTAGGTGGCAGAGTAAGCATAGAAGTGTTGCTGAGCATCCCAGTGGAAAAAATAAACATTGGAATCTATTTATAACATAGCGACATGCTACCAACTGTCTTTTTAACCCACTGTCTCTTTCCCAATTTGAGTTTCCCAGTGTTTCAGGACATACATCATCCAGCTGGCTGCGACACCATTGTGTGAGGGAGTCGGGGGTGACGGCGTGGCCGCAGGACATCTCTGCTCTGAGACCATCGTCTTCATCACACACTGGATCCAGGTCGTCCTTCCTCTTCACAAACTTCAGGGTGGTGTCCCGGGGGTCGTACCTCTTCTCCACCTGCTCCTGTCCCCGCATGCTCATCGTGATTGTCCTGTAAGTGGACAAAAAACAATGATTTCTGACAAGTGAGATTTAAATGAACACATTTTTTTCTTTTTATTGTTCTTTGTATTACTTCAGTTTGTGGCATTATCGTGCTTTGAACTACAACTCCCAAAATGTAGGCGCTTTGAGTTACACATGTTGACATGAAATCAGTCAGTTATAGGCTATAACTAGTTGTTTTGAGCATTTTAGTTGACAGATTGGCAAACATACTTGGCCCTTTACTTTTTAGAAGTCCCTCTTCACAATGAACCAATGAGTGTACAGACAACTATCACTGGAAAACTGTTATATTGAACAATTGTGCTTTTTCTATGCAGGTGCTGGAGTGATAGGTGGCATAATGTGGATTTATTGATGTTAATTGACTGAGCTATTTATATCTGATATATAATTAGTCATCTGAAAACTTCTGAACATAAGGTGTTGGAGATACACTTGTTGCTGCTGACATCTTGGCTCTGATATTTTTTCAGCTGACTGAGCTCATAAATCTGACTCACTGAACAGAAACTTAGGGAATTTTCCAGATGGTTCACGTTCACATAAAAGTACATACAGTAGAACTCAGTATTTATTCAGGCAGTGTGTGTATGATAATATCAATACACATGTGTTCGGTTATGCATATATTTTAGTATATGTTATGCTAAGTATTTCTTTGGAAAGCCCTTTGTGCTGATGGCTTAAAAAGTGCACTACAAACAAACAAAAATATATACATATCATTGATATGAAAATCAACTTGTCAACCACGTAAAACATTCATTTTTATTTATTGTATTCACAAACACTAAAAGACACTTTGCATATCTACTTTTCTTATTCTGAAAAGCTACCTCAATATAAACTTCAATTCAGTTTAACCAACTTACATTTTAAGTATTAGAGCAGTGGTGGATAGTTACATATACACTTACTAAAGTACTTGAGTACAATTTTGAGGTACTTACTTACTCCTTACATATTTGACAGCTTTAGTTACAAGTTATTTTGTAGCTTTAGATGATTAGCTAACACAAAGTCTAAATCCATTTTAAAATAAACTTTGAGATATATTTTTAGGTTAAGATGTCCAGCAGCAGTATATAAATATATTCAAATTAGATCCACCTTTACCAGTTGAGATAAAAACACGTGAATAATCATAATAGTAACCCAGTAACTCATGTGATTCTGTACTTTTGGTACTTACAGTATATTCGGATCATGCTTATTCTATTGTACTTTTACTTAAGTAAGATTTAGAATGCAGGACTTTACTTGTAACAAAGTCATTTTAAAATGTAGTATTACTAGGCTACTTTTACTTAAGTACAAGATCTCATTACTTCTTACACCACTGGCCTACAATTTGTATGACACGCGGTGAATAAAACTCTCTATTGACCGATAAATATATATATAAATATATATATATATATATATGTAGCCTATAAGAGGAAGTTATGTCTTACCTTGTTATTGTTGTTGTCAAACCGGAAGTAGCAACAATTCCAGACAGTAATTTCGCTCAAGTTCAAAACCCAGTGATTTAGGTAAAGTCTCCTCTCCAGGCAGCTGAAATATTATCGATCTTTTCTCGGGTTTGCGTTTCCTCCCTCCTTCAAATACTCTCTGAAAACGAAAGTGAAAGAAAGCTGAAGGAATCCGCCGTCGGTTAGATAAGCTGCACGGTGAGTCGTCTCGTGTCCCATGTCACTAAATAAGATTTGGCCATGCGTGTTATTATGAGTTATCGTGTACGTGTGGCTATCACTTTATATTTACTAGTATTTATAGCTTACTTTTGTCATTTGCTGAACGATTTGTTGACACAAGATTGGGTAATGGAGGACTGAGAGGCAACGTGGGTTTCCATAACACCCAAACACACCAGCTGCGTTCACTGGTTACTCAGATTTTACTTATATAAAAGTACCAGAGTGTAAGAATACTCAGTTACAAGTAAAAGTTCTGCATTCAAAATGTTACTCAAGTAAAGTACAAAAGTATTAGCATCATAATGTACTTAAAGTATCAAAAGTAAAAGTACTCATGCAGATTGGCTCATTTCAGAATAATATAGGGCAGGCTATATTATATGTTTTGATTATAATCATTGATGCATTAAAGTGTTATCAAAGTTGGTAAAGGTGCAGCTAGTTTTAATTCCTTTGTTTTACCTCTGAATTGTAGTGGGCTAGAAGAAAATAAATACACAAGTAAAGTACAAGTATCTCAAAATTGTGATTAGGAACAGTACTTGAGTAAATGTACTTAGTTACTTTACAGATTTGCACGTAATATGGGGTTTCTTGGACTGAAGCGCCCTTTAGTTTCATCCTCTAGCTGCCATGCAAGATTATACATCGATCAGGGCTTTCTTTTTCTAAATTTGTATTATTGTTCAACTCATTGCCATTCTATGCCTATCAGGATGTTGTATTATGTTATTGGATTGTTAATAGCGATGCATTATTGTGTGTAAAGTGTCATGTATAGTGGATGTAGAGCTACTTTGAACTATTGTGTATACTACTGCATGATTTATAGATAACAATGCGTAATATATTTATAAACTGATAATAACATATTATTGTGTAAATCTGATGTGTTTTTTTTTAACTGTAACTCAGTTAAATGTAGAGTTATTGCAATAACTTAGTTACTTTCCTCCAAAAAATTAAAGGTACTATTCTGCATTTAGAAACTATTAACATAATACTTAATCAGGTGTAATGTCTGTCTCTATGTATGACTTAAAACGTGAAATGGGAAAAATATATCATTATCTTCATAACTTTGCCAGTATTATCCAATTTCTCGTTTCTTCATGTTAAATTGTACAACTTTCACAGCGTATCCACCCTCATGGTATTAGCTGCAATACAATTTCCTCTCCACCATCTTTCTTAACCAACAAAACACTATCATAATACATGCACAGACCTCTTTAAAACTCCTGTCTTTTTACTTTTCACCGTGATTCTATTGATGATTCCGTAGCTAGTTTATTAGCATTGAGTGCAAAATAAGGCCATACTCTAAAATACTACACTTTGGCCATTTAAGTTTTCCCTGCTGGCTGTCTCTTAACTTCTGCTGTATGTTCTTCAACAGGATGAGTCGATACATAAAAAACCCCATTGTTTCAAAACATTTTCATTTGAAAGGCATCAGGTATGACGTTGTTGAAAAATTCAGAGAGAAACTTGACAGCTTCACTATCTCAGGTAGGTGACATGACATGATGCCACTCAAACATGTTGCTTTTATGTGTCTGAGTTTTATGATAAAGTGTCTAATTTGACTATTGTCTCCTTAGATTACCATGGCCTTAACAGTCCAGGTCTGACCTGCTATCTGAACAGTATTCTTCAGGTGCTTTACATGACCGAAGACTTCCGGGAGGCTGTACATTTAAAACAGTTCGTAACCTTGACCTTATTTTGATTGTTTTTAAAGTTTAGACTGTTAAAGGTGGGGTAGGTAAGTTTGAGAAACCGGCTCGAGATACACTTTTTGTTATATTCCATGGAACGCTCTTAACATCCCGATAGCAATGAATATCTGAAGTGCTTTGACAAAAAATCCATTTAAAAAATGTCATCTGTGGAAGCCGTAGTACTGTAAAAAGCACGACCAATCATCTGAGCCGGCTCGGCTAAAGTATATGGGCTCAGAACAGTCTCATAATACACACATGCACACAGAAGGATTCAAACTTGTATTTCCGGATCCATACTTGTGTTTTTCAAAGCACACACAAATGTATTCCGTTTCATATACATGTCAATAAAATCCAAATACAGAAAAAAGTTTTACATATGTATTTTTGATCCTCACATATTAGTTTCCCGTTTAAATCCCCTGAACCTGCAAACACAAACAGCTTTCTGTGCACGGATCGCTTTGCATTCGTGTGTGGGTTTTATGAGACTCCCCTGACGGTCAGCCGATTCGTACTTGTAATTTTTTCTATCTATAGCCAATCAGATGTCTCCTTCATTCTAAGCCAATCACATGAGCGCGTCCCCACGAGGGTAAGATTACTTCATATACGCATTTTGCGCAGGCCGGTCAGCTCGCTAAACAGAGGGCGGAGCATCAGGTGATCATGCAGAGCAGTGTGTCTCTGTCAGACTCAGCAGCTGATCTGATCTCTCTCTTGCGTCCGGTTATACTTCACTCGCGTGTCCATATCGATCAGATCCAGCTCTCCTGATCGGCCTTTATAGAGAGCACCGATCAAACTATTAAGAGTGAATATCGGCCGATAATGACCGGTGGGGCTCCCCCCCGTTAACAGGCTTCGTAGTGCACTGATCGATTAGGCTAAGCTAACCTGTAGCTGCTCCCTCCACACTCACAACAACTTCATACAGACATAAATAAAGCAGCTGTATTCGCCATACAGGAAACACACATTTAAAACGGTTTTGCCTGCCGTTTTTGTGTACACAAGCATTCATCAATGGTTTGGAAAGTGGCGCTGTACCTTAATAATATAAAGGCTTGTATTTGCGTTCATTTCCTGTTCGGAAAGTGGCGCTGTACTGAGAGTGGAGGGTGTCCTGAGATTAGCGCCTGCAGGCAGGCTCCATGGAGCTGTCAGCTCCGGACTGCGCAAAATGCGTACATGAAGCCCTACGTCATGAACGCAAGAAATATACCCTCGTGGGGGCGCGCTCATGTGATTAGCTTAGAATTTAGGAGACATCTGATTGGCTATAAAAATTACAAGTACGAATCGGCTGACCGTCAGGGGAGTCTCAAAAAACCCACACACGAATGCACAGCGATCCGTGCACAGAAAGCTGTTTGTGTTTGCAGGTGCAGAGGTTTTAAACGGAAAACAAATATGTGAGGATCAAAAATACATATGTAAAACTTTTTTCTGTATTTGGATTTTATTTACATGTATATGAAACGGAATACATTTGTGTGTGCATTGAAAAACACAAGTGTGGATCCGGAAATACAAGTTTGAATCCTTCTGTGTGCATGTGTGTATTATGAGACTGTTCTGAGCCCATAAAAGTAACTGGATGGCCTACCTGCCTGTCAGCCTTCCATCTGTGCACAAACTTATCTCGTGCTCTCATTGGTCATGTGCGCGTTCGTGTGTGTTGGAGGAGGGGCTCTGTAAGGAACGGGCAGATTTGTTCCGACTGTGTATTTTCAAATTCTAGCGCACTCGAGCTGGTTTCTCCAAAATGACCTACCCCACCTTTAAGATCAAATGAAAACCAAAATAAATGTTTTTTTTAATTATAGGAATATATTGCCATGCTGGGAACCACATATGTTTGTATTTTATAATGAAGCTGGAGGCCTGGAGCCAGCAGTTTGCTAGCTTAGCATAAAGACTGGACCAAGGGGGTTAGCCTAGCTCTGTCTAATGCTAACAAAACACAACTACCAGCAACTCTTAAATTAAGAAAAATACAAAACCTAAAAATAACATGTTGTAGTGTATGAGGGGTTACGTGTCTGAATATTTCTTGTTAGTGTTTAGTTATCAAGCAACACCAGTTAAATGCCATCCACTTTCCAGTCTTTATGCTAAGCTAAGCTAACCTGCTGATGGGTTCAGCTACTTATTTCATGTCACAAAAATGTAAAGCTATTCCTTTAAGAAAGATTTGTCCAGGAAAATCAGTGCAGTACAAAATGATGTGACTTTGCTTGAATGGTGTATTGATCATATTCGTCTAACTGTGCCGCAGTAAAGATTCAACAACCATTGACTCACAGCTGGGAGGACTGTTTGCTGATTTACGAAAAAGAATTGCCAAAACACTTGACGTCACAGAAAAACTGGGGATCACTAACGGTAAGTTTCACTGTAGGAGCTCGAGTGTTAAAATCCTGCAGACCCTCGAGCCTGGTACTGAGTCTGCATGTGTTAATAATTATATTTTCTGTCCTTAAAAATACTTTCAGTATATGAGCAACGCGATGCTGCTGAGTATTTTGAGAAGATCCTGTGTATGACCAGTCCGGTTGCAGCCCAGGTACGGATAGCATATGAAATAAGTTGTATATCTAATATTATCTTAGTTATAGATGTATACACCATACTCTACCCTGCTGTTTATATATCCAGTTTAAAATGTTTTTATCATGTAGCACCTCATGCACTTTTATTCTGAGACAGGGATTTTTAAAAGTATGTCAGCTTGTATTTAAAAAAAATCGTATACTATTTTTTGATATATTTTTGTTTGTATGTTTAGTTTTTTAATATCTAGGTGTGGAGAGTTGAGCCTAGGAATTTCATTGTACAGTGCAACCGCCCGGTATTATGTTCATGCAGCATTTAACACTTTTATTTAATCAAAGTGGAGATCTTTATTAACGATTTAATAAAGCGGCTCATTATTTTAATTGTGGATTAAACTGCAGTTTTTTTCTTGATCAATTCGTTAATTGTTTGGTTTGTAAACTGTTATTAAGTGGTCAGAAATGTGCAACATTATTGCTTTTTAAAATATTGGGACCTTGGACTTTTAACTATTTTTGTTTTGTTAGCAGAATCTTAATTTTTGAAGTTACTTGTAGGAGATGTATTGCAGTATAACGTACACAATTTAGTTCAATTCCATTGCTATGTTATACTTAAAAAGCTACATTTCAGTGTAATATGAAGCAGTTTTGAACCTCTGATGTATCTTTGTGTCTAGATATTCAAAGGGGAGCTGAATCACATCACAACATGCCTGAAATGCAAAGAGAGGAACCAGTCCAGGAGCTTTTTTTGGGTTCTGCCACTTGCAATAGAAGACTTGCGTGGTCACATCTACAGCGTGGTACTGTGTGTTCCTTTCACAAGAATAAGCGTTATCTATTTCTTTCCAACTCAGGCAGGTTGAATACATGTACCATGTTTACAGGCGAAAGGGTTAAAGGCATTCTTCAAGGGGGATAAAGTCAGCGGGGACGACAAGATGTACTGCAACCAGTGTAATAAAAAGCAAGACGCAGTGTTGGTGGGTATTTAAAATCATCAGATACAAATGAATTTACAAATATTGTGTAAATCCCAGTTAATATATGACCTTATAATAGAGTGCCACAGTGACGCGTCCTAAGACCCGGAAGTAAACTCCTTCCGGTTCCTTCGACAAAAAAGCAATGTAATTTTTCGATAGGATTTAGGAAAATATCTGGAAATAAGTTCTGCGGTTGAGACACATTTAAGAGACGGATCACATTTTGTTCAGCCGTATAATCTCCACATGTCTACCCTACTTTTATAATTTTCTAATCGTAAATCTAATCGCCAGAAGCAAAATGCTAACGTTATGCTATAAACGAACTACAGCAGGGTCGCTGCTTCAACGTCACGCCAACTTAAGATCCATATTCAAAACTACAGATTCAAAATGGTACAAGTTGAAGCGTTTATTTTAACAGTTTGCAGGTACTTGCTTTCAAGCAGAACACGGGGGAAAACAGACTTAGCGGGAGTGTTTACGTGTTCGGTGTAATGACATACAACGTCCTCGATAACTTCTGTAGTCCTATTCAGCCACTTGTTAACATCCATCGTTTTTCAGACACGTAAACTCTTCAAGAAATCACCAGTGGGGTCACTGCTGATGTATTTAATGTTGTAGAACAAAACGTTATCCGTCTCTTAAATGTGTGTCAACCACAGACAGGCGAAAATGCTAACTTACTTCCGGGTTTTAGGACGCGTCACTGTTGCACTCTATGGGTGTTTCTCAATCTCGAGTACGCTTGCTTGGTAGCACATGTCTTCCGAGCATCTTGCTTCAGAAGCGAGGTGAGAATACTTCCTGGCATTCGGAAAACAAAGAGTGGAACAGGCTAGCAAGTGTGCAGGTGTGCGTCATATGAGAGGCCCCGCCTTACATTTTCCGCCACAGATTTGGGGAAATTGGTCCGTGCGCATTGTGGGGATTCTAAGACCGCGGAGTCTACCCATGTGCAGCCTCGATATTTCTCCAAACGAAGTACGCCGGGCTCGGTAGAATTCCAAGTATGCTGGACATTGGAACAGTCCTTCGGCGGCACTCGATGACGTAGTATGCTTGAAATAGTGGCTCTGGAGCAGCTTTACTCGACATTGAGAAACACCCTATGTCTAATACATCGCCATTAGGGGTGGGAATCACCAGGCTCCCCACGATGCGATACTATCGCGATACTTAAGCCACGATACGATAGTATTGCGATTCTACGATATGCTAAGTATTGCAATAGGCTATATTGCGATATTGCAAATCACACGGGTCATATCCATGTCCGTCTTCCCTTCCTGGTTAAAAAATGTATTTGCAATATGAATAGTTTATGTAAATAACCCAATTTGTGTTCTTTGAACCTGAAAAGGAGATGGCATTGTTTAAGGTTTATCTAATAAAATATCGATACTTGGCATCTGTGTATCAATACAATATCACCAAAGTATTGCGATACTATGCTGTATCGATTATTTCCCCCACCTCTAATCGTCATGCATCTCCAGTGCTCCCCATTAAACATTGTTCAACATCATTCCTGACCCCTGATTTAGATTCTCTGAAGTCACTAATATGTTAAGTGACTTTACAACTCTTTGTGTTCATGCGTGATGTTTTCATTATCTGTTCTAGCGATGTGAGATAACAACACATCCAGGGATTTTGACCCTCCTGTTGAAGAGATTCAGCTTTGACTACAAGCTCAGGTGTTACGTTAAGCTCCACTGCAACGTGGATGTACCGAAATCTCTGTTCATCGGGGTATGTTTTCCTATATATACGTCTTGATTTCAGCAGCAGATTCTTTGATTTCTTAAACGTGGTGATTTGCTTGATTTCCCTTTTTGCAGAAATGCAAATATGACCTCTACGCTTTAGTGAACCACTTTGGGAATCTAACAGGGGGTCATTACACTGCGCACATCAAATCTATTGAAACGGACAGGTGGTATCACTTTAATGACAACATTGTTAACATGGTAAGGAGGCTAGCTTCTCTATATGCAGTCAGGTTTCACATATCTATGCTCAGTTAAACAGTACAACATTTACTGTAATTGTTTTTGAATCACACAGGTTCAACCACCACTCATTGGGGCTGAACATGACTCCCTAAGGTCCTGTACAGCTTACCTCCTCATGTACAAGAAGGGTGAGTTGGAAAATGTGCAGTTCTAGTTTCTAGTATTTCTTCTTCGAGTGCTATTAATTATCTAGATTTTGTTTTAGTGTCATATTTGTCTACCTATGTTTGAATAAAAGGCAACAAGATGTCACTCAGACTGTGGTGCTCAAAAAGGCACAAAAAAAATACTCAACAAAAAAAAAAGCCTCTCTTCCTTGAGTAGATGAACGCGTTCTTCTGCGCGGTGATGTTTAGTGGGTGTTTGGTAGTTAGTAAATAGTTCCTGAAAGCTGCTCACGACAAAGTCTGTGGATTATTTGAGTAACTAGGTTAGGATTTTTGGAAAGAGACATTCCTGTCAAGTTTTTCAAAATGATTTGTATCGCTCTGAGCACCACAAGTTGAGTGCCATCCAGTTCCATTCAAGAGTAAGCAGACATCCCCATACCTCTAAAAACGTGCATACAAAAGCTAGAGTCTAAACACTGTCCCTTTAAGTCCAAGATGATAAGGCCTAATTCAATAATAACCCTTCTTATCTCTCTTCAAAGTGAGCAGACATCCTGAACAAAATGATGAAAGCGAGGATGATTTCCGTTCACATTCAGGAGTCGATGCTGAAGGAAGACAAGACGAGACAGAGAGAGGAGAGCTTCCTGTTCCTCACCATCAACTCAATGATGGAAGCTGCCATGGAGGGGGAAACCTGAAGCTCCTGAACGCACCTTGTGTGAAGCCAGGCAGAAAAGACTCTGGAGCAGATGGAGACTGTTTGCAATCACACAAGTCAGATTTTCCAACGCTACAAAAGAGTCACGAGATCAGACAGCAGCTTGATAGGAACTCAGAGGAGCCCATGCAGCTTTTACACACCAGAGGGAAACACTCGGAACATTTGGGAACACACGAGATAAACCATGTGTTAGAGCAATCCACAAAGAAAACACTGGAGGTGAATGAGACTGTCTGGGGAACACAGAAAACTAAAGGAAGCCTTAGAAATAGAGTCAAACATGTGGAAGCAGAAGAACATTTGTGTAGTTCTGATGTAAAGTCACTTCCTGTTTCCTCTTCTTCTTCACTTACAAACTTGAAAGGACACAGGCCGATTAAAGTTTCCATGCAGCCATCCATTAAGTGTAACAACTCTCCAAAACTATGCAGAAAATCCAACAATTCGATGAAAGACGGAGAGACCAGTCAGAATGTTGTGACTGCAGATTGCACACAAACTGTGAGAAAAGGAGGGAAAAGTCCTGAAGATAGAGGACAGTCTGCAAAGAGCAGGGACAGAGCGCCATGGAAGTGATGAAATAACAGGGATAATATCTGTATTTTTGATATTTTGACATGTTAATGCTTTTTAAAACGGCATTTATAATAAACTTGAGAATTGAAAATGCTGGTGTATGTACCCAGGGGCGCCGCCAGGGATTTTGGGCCCCATGAAAAGATATCACATTGGGCCCCACCACCAGGCACAGGCCACGCAAACCAAGCACAGTTGCTGTAACCACACCTCCAGAACCCAACCGACTCATTTATGCTATAAATAACTCTACCTGTACAGGCTTGCATCTATCTTGTAGTCCAATACTAACTGCACAATATTTACTGACACTGAGCGGTGAACATATAACACTGTGCAGACTGCAAATTCTACTGCAACATTCTGCTGCAGTAGAATTCACTATTTGATATAACACTAACATTCCTGACAATAGACCTCAATAGTCATCTTTTATGGTGTACATGCCTTTTTAATAACATTTTTGAATGGAACATTCATAAATCAAAAATAAATATAACTTAAATATACATGACCTCTTAAATTAAAATAAAGTGAACATTAACACCAATATTATCATTTATAAAATGATATCACAAAAAAAATAACATAAGCAGCAGATTTTCTAATTAAATATACATACTAACTACAAAATAAGCGGGTATTAAAGTGTAAGTGGACAACAAAACGGAAATGGAAATGAAAAGGCCTGATGGTGGTGCTAAATCAGAGCAAAACTGGGTGACATACTGTCGCTCTCTCTTGTCTTTCTCTCCTTTCTTTTCTTTTTTGAAAGCCTGAATTTGTTAGTCGTTGAGACATCGTACACTTAAGTACTAGCATCCCTGCACATGCTCTCACTCTGCTAGAAAGAGCGGTGCCGCACAGCGTTTGGAGACAGGACCAAACCATTACATGTAAATAGAGGGGGTGTTCAGAGGCTTTGGATAATTAACTTTTCGAACAAAAAAAGTTAAATGAATCATAAGTTTAGTGAGTACATTATCAATATAACGCTATATTAATGTAAATTATTGATCATTGATGAAAGGTTACTTACATTTTTTTTCTTAATGTTCTACAATTTTTTGGGACCCCTGTCAGTCACGGGCCCTTAGAATCGTCCTAACTTTTCACCCCCTTACGCCCCTGTACCTTTAAGATTAAGAATTAAACATATTTATTCAGTTCGTTGGTGTCGGTCATCTACAACCAAATAAAGGAACCCAAACAGCAACACCGCAGAAATGGTTGTGCAAATCTTCATTAAAAGCCATACTGGTCGGTTATAGTGGCGCTGGACGTGTCACACAAGTCAGATTTTCTAACGCTACAAAAGAGTCACGAGATCAGACAGCAGTTTAGGAACTCAGAGGAGCCCATGCAGCTTTTACACACCAGAGGGAAACACTCGGAACATTTGGGAACACACGAGATAAACCATGTGTTAGAGCAATCCACAAAGAAAACACTGGAGGTGAATGAGACTGTCTGGGGAACACAGAAAACTAAAGGAAGCCTTAGAAATAGAGTCAAACATGTGGAAGCAGAAGAACATTTGTGTAGTTCTGATGTAAAGTCACTTCCTGTTTCCTCTTCTTCTTCTTCACTTACAAACTTGAAAGGACACAAGCCGATTAAAGTTTTCATGCAGCCATCCATTAAGTGTAACAACTCTCCAAAACTATGCAGAAAACCAACAATTCGATGAAAGACGGAGAGACCATGCAACATGTTGTGACTGCAGATTGCACACAAACTGTGAGAAAAGGAGGGACAAGTCAACGAAAGCAAGCAACTGGAGGACAACTTTCTACTATCATACTACGGAATTCAAAATAATGCAACCATTCAGACGTTGTCAAGGGGTGGAGCTGAGCCTGGAGGCCCGGAAGATCCTGGACTGGGTGACAAGGATGAGAAAAATAGAAGTAACGAAAGGCTCTTTGATTTTTAAAACCATTTCAGTAACACACCAGAGCTTCACACAAGTGCCCAAACGAATATCCCATATCACACTCTAATGGGATTTTAGTGTAAAACCAATATTGGATTAATCATTTAATTTAATATGTCTTGTTATGCGCCTGCTCTGTGTGTGGATTGTTTAAGGATGGATGATTATTTTTAGACAACTTTTGAACTAGTTCAGACAGGAGACTTATGGCGCGTTTCCACTGCAGGCCTCGCTCGGTTTGGTTAGGCCTTATTAGGCCCGGCTCACTTTAATGCTGCGCTTCCATTACAGTTTAGGAACTGGGGCAGTTACTATAGTAACGCAGTGTAGGCGGAGCCGTGACGTCATCTTCAATGAGAGTCCCAGAAAAACACCACAGCCGTTAGCTCTTAGCACTCAGAGCTCACAGCTCTTCATATCTGTTCAGAAACTAGACAAAAGTTAAACAAGTACAAACCACAGACTGCCTGTGTCATGGCGAATACAGTCGCTGGTTTATTTATGTCTGTATAGGCCGTTGTTGTGAGTGTGGACGGTCGGAGCATATATAACGTTAGCTTAGCCAAGCTACATTTAGAAAACAGGCATTTTAAAAGGGTTTTTCGCCTGCCGTCTGTCTGCCGACTTGTCAAAGCATTAATTCATGGTTTTTACTAACCGGTATCAGTATGTTGTTACTTCGCCATCATTTTGAAACGTGTATTACAATTAAATCACGGTCAAGTATGTTCATCTTGTTGTAGTTGTAGCCCCCTTGCCAGCGATTCTCTCTCTAGTTTAGCATACTCAGCCTGGTTGTTCCTGGCCCTAGAACCACGATTTAGTCGGGCCAGAAAAAAGGTGAAAAAGTAGCCCCGAACCAAAAACGGGCCCCGCACGGCTCGGCACGCTTAAAGCGAGCTACCCGCTGCAGTGGAAACGCGCCATTAAAGTGCAATTCACTGTCATCACTCAACCCAGTCTCACGGCATTTCGTGTTCACCAACACGATTTTTAATCTATTGATTCGTGTTCACCAACACGATTTGCCCCTTTTTTTCGTGTTGCACAGCACGATTTTAAAAGCAATGTATTTCTACTGCCTGCAGCACGTCTTTTTCTCCGGTCGGGTCGAGGAAGACCGGAAGCTGTGTGGTTCATAAAAACATGTTCTTACTCAATATCAAGCCACAGTTATTGCTTTTATTTTAAATCGTATCATTTCGATAATAATTAATATAATTTTGTTGCCGTCTGTGAGGAAAATAAATGGGGCTCAGAGCCTCAGGATACTGAAATCTGTATTTTTTAAATCTTTTTTTCCTTCTAATTTGTTATCCTTTTCAAAATAACACACTGTTATTTACTCACCAATAACACACAATTATCCTTGCTTTTATTTATTGGTTTAATTCCATAATCTCGGGCTTTTTTGGCGTCCGTCAGGAACTGAATTTCAAAATAAAAATAACCGGAAACAGACGTAGGCATTTCGAGCGATTACCCAAGATCCTCAGCTATGGTTTTAAGCTCGTTTATTGGATGTTTTAGCCGCAATGCATGCTGGGATTTGGTGTTTATATGATATGAAATCCGGAAAACATTTTAAAATAATACTTAATTCCGAGCGCTCTTGCTTTTCTCTTTGAAAGTCATCACATAACGGCATTGTAATACACGGTTCGGCTGCATTGTATATTACAGATCTGCCGTAGTTCTTTATTTATAGAGCCCTGATGAGAAGACCTTTGGAAAAACTGAGAAAATGCCGCCGAAACTGAATACTTGACGTGGATCATAAATATATTCAACAATTAAACAACATCTTCAATTTCTCTTCACACAATACGTCTCCTTGCAGTATCAACACTAATTCGGCTGACTTTTACATTTGATCTAATTCACAGATAGGTTATATTTACACCATAACGGTGCACAGCTGATATAAAAGGACTGTAGTTTTTAAAGATATTACTGATTTTCTTTGAATGTAAGAATGTAAATACTGAGTCTGAAATAGTATAGCAATATGCTGTAAAATTATGTGAAAGCATGCATAAAACTACACATCTTCAGATGTTGTACGAAAACATAAGTGTCCTACACTAATACAAAGTTATTATGGCTGTGTGTACCTTGTGTGCACCTCCTAGTGGTTAAAGCACGTTATTGAATTATTGTTTTTATTTGATTAAAAAAAAATTAAGAGTACATACTTTCATAGGGGGAAAGTATAAATATAGAATATAAAAAATCAAGAAGATACTATAAGTGATCTCTACAATAAAACAGTTTAGTGCAGAATGTACAAAGATATTAATAGGAGGTGCAAAACAGACAAACTAATTAACTTTTATTTAAACATTAAATACTACTTTAGATTAAGGTCTTCTTTTAAATAAGAAAAAAACTTTGCGGGTATCTATCTACAGATAAATATTAAGCCTGACAAAGTACTTAACGTCTAATATATTGCTTTCCTGCAATGTTAACTATGTTGAAGCACTTATTTTAACTGATATTATACATATGAATTATACTCTTATGTATGTAGATAGAATAAGAAATGTGCAGAATATGACAGTTTAATGGTGGAGGTACACTATTGATAGATGTCTTGTAATGCACTGTTGAGGAACCTGTGACCCAAGTGTTTCATTCATTGCATAACTACACCGTAGTTGTGTATATGATATGTCAATAAACCTTTGAAAATCTTGAAAGGGATGTGCAAAATAGCCATAATATACAGTCTTTAATTAACTATTAGTAGAGAATAACGAGTAATGAATATACTTTATTACTCGTTTCCATTCATGTCAATTGCAGATACATGTTTAGTCTTCTCAAGCACCAACTATCAAATATCTCTCCTGATTGTTGGCACTTGACAATCACCTTACCTGAATTTTACTCAGGTGTAACTAAAGTCTGATTTAAGGGTTGTTTATATTTCACATAATTAATCAGAATCTGCAAAGTAACTCAAATAAATGCAGTGGAGTAAAAATACCAGGTTAACCTCTGAATTGTAGTGGAGTAGAATTACAAAGTAACAATGAGCTGTCATGTGGGTATTAATGCTGCGCATTATGGACACAAGCGATTTTCACCCATTTATTAATTATATGTTTTACATTTGATAACACCAATGTGTTTAATACTGGCAACTTCTA